AATTCATAAACCAGTGAGCAGAAGTTAGTAAGCTGCCAGACAGCGACTGATACATTTGGGGATTATTTAAATTGATTGTCTGTAATGGAAACAGACTGGATACAATAAGCCAGAAGGTCCTTTTCATTGCCGAGTTCTGATTTCCAGTGTACTGTTACTAAATGCTTAAAACTTCTCTCTCCCTGTTGTACCCTTTTCAGATTAACCTCTTTCTGCCACCTCAGGTGGTGAGTTATTTCAGTGCAGTTGTTGCAGTGTTATGACCTCTTTCTTCTGGGTACAGAATCATGCAAAAGATGCCTGTAACTTTTGTGACGGTGACACAGCATTGACATTTACTACTGCTCATCCAGCAAACAGTTCAAGATGTACTTTTGTAAGCATAAATTATTAATGAATGTTTCTCTCCTTTGGGACAACTGAAATGCCTTTTCTGTAAACGCCCTTTGTAGCTGTGAATGTGTGCGCGCTCGGGACCCATGACTGCGAGCAGGTCTGCGTGAGTAACGGCGGATCCTACCTTTGTGATTGCTATGAAGGCTACGCTCTCAATCCAGATAAGAGAACCTGCTCAGGTATTACTCCTTCGGTAAATGTGTTCAACTAGGAAAAAAATTACTTTTTAACACCATAATTGGGTTTGAGAAACTACTTGTGTACTTCTGTTGAAACAGTGAACATCTGTATCTCCTTCAATAATAATAAATCTAATAATAAATAATAAATAGTCTACTGCAAGCAATGGTGAGAAGTAGTTTCATTCCATCACCATTCTTTTCATTATGCCTGCAGAACCGTTCATTAGGGCCAGATGCCAAAACAAAGTCTTCAGATGTAGACACTGTATAGATATTTTATCCTACCACTCACTCTAATTCCTTCAATTGCTGTTGCCATTTCTGAGCTCATTCCAAATAGAAATATATTCAAAAATGTGCATATGGACTCCACCCCAAACTACTTTTTATTAACAATGAATTGTTTGTCCAACGTGTCTTGCAGCTGTGGACATGTGTGCTCCTGGAAGGCACGAGTGTGATCAGATCTGTGTGAGTAACAACGGATCCTATGTCTGTGAATGCTATGAAGGCTACACCCTGAATCCAGATAAGAAGACTTGCTCAGGTAATAATTAAAGGCTACTACAATATATGGAACTCATGGAGACATGGACATGTTTTCTGTGAGTTACCTGCATTGTTTCTAGTTGAAAAATTGAATGAGAATTCACCTCTACACTTTCCCCTTGGTTCCAGTAACAGTAACATTGCATTTTTCTTTAAACGTGTTGATTACAAAAATGCAATTTGGCACGTACCTACCATTTTATGGTCTTCACAGTACTTCATAAACATCACTTAGTCCCTGGGAGAGGATGAACCTATTCCAGAGATGCCCACCAGCACTGTGTCTCCACTGGAGAGTGAGTGCCACTAGTCCATAGAAAACTTAAAACCTGATGATTTTCCCCTGTCCTCTCCATCTCTCCCGTCAAAACTCACTTTTTTTTACAGCTTGCTGCTTCTGCTTCCAAGCTGTGCAGGATCTGTGATATAGCAACCCCAGTCTTACACCGGCAGCAGCTTCTTGAACTGTCACCCTGAAAAGTTAGCGTATTATAAATTTTTTTTCCCCAAACACTTCTCTGGAGTTGTTTCTTTAAATCCAGACATTTTGAGCAGCACCAGCCTTAGAGTAGCTATTTTATAACTGGTAAGTGCATCCCTCCCTTTGCGAGCACGTAAGCATTCTTCTCACTGAAGTTTTCACTCTTCTTATTTCTGAAGAGAGAACGTAATCGTCTAGTGCTCCTGCTTGTTTGTTTGTTTGCTTGCTTTTGTTCTCATTATATCTCTTTGCCATTTAATAGCGTTTCTACATATCGCGCCTGGCTTTTTGTGCCTGCCTTCAGCTCGTGGATGAAAGTATGAAGTTAAATTTGGGTTCACCATAGTTATGGCTAATATTGCAAGAAACAACTTCTGCCGTGACACATGGCAGGTTATTGCTCATCTCAGTATGGTGTTTTAGCTTCTTCTTTACTGGGGATATTCAGGGCTGTTAGAATTGCTGAAGAAAATCAGATTGCGTGAGACATGGTATAGTAATGTCTTGCAGTCCAGATATCTGCCTCCTGCATTAAATAATTAGTAGCTGCATTCAGTTGTCTGCAGCATAATATAATAACGTAGTAGGGCACTGGCTGAATCCTAATTTGAATCCTAATTAAATTGTACTTGAAGCATTTAAAATGCTTGAGTGTCTGGGAGGGATTAATAGCTTGCTTTTCTAAAACATGGTTCACCACAGCCACGGACATGTGCGCAGCTGGAAGGCACGATTGTGCCCAAGTCTGTCTGAGTAATGATGGGTCCTACAGCTGTGAGTGCTTTGAAGGATACACTCTGAATCCAGATAAGAAGACTTGCTCAGGTAAGACCTGATCAAGGAAATACTGTGTTCAGCTAAAAACAAGTAACTTTAAAAAATCAGGTTAATTTATGTTATTTTTCTGACAAATTATCCAAGAGTTTCTGTACAATTCCTGAATTTTTTTCTACACGTTTGCAGTAATAATTTGAGACCCATGCATCATGAGTGTGATCACTCTTTCTGGTGGATGTGTTTGGACCTTAGAAATAATCCAGCCTTAGAGCTCTAGAGGATGGAGGGAAATGTTCTTTCCCAGTGCTGGGCTCTTGTGGAGAATAGGAGCATAGATGTAGCTGGTACTTAAGGATGTACATATAAGTATGTAGTATCTACAAATTAATATGTATTCTATATTATTTTCACTTGATTAGGATTTGAACTTCACTCTTCATTTCTTTGGATATCTCACCGATGATTAATTTATGCAAAATCCTTTTTTTTCCACTTCCATCATAATCCCTTTCCTTACTACATTTTGTGTGACGAAGCACTGAACCTAGGCTTCCAGTTCCAGGAGGTTCCTAGGCAAATCTCTCCAATTAAGTCATACATCTCGCATCTCAAAGACGCAAAGCCAGAGGGCCTCAGTATTTCTTCCTGCCTCGTTTAGGAGCTGATTTTGTAAATATAGTTCCTAAGATTAACTCTCGCCTGGCATTATATAGACGCAATAAATATCTGTGAGAGAATGTGAAGTCAGTTAGGCATCCCCTTTGGGAGTCCAATCCTGAGCCTCCTTTCGTAGCACTGATTCTCCCCCTGCATAGGCAAATTTGAGATTATTTCCCTAATATGCTTGCTTTTTTTTCTCCTTTTGAATCTCATTTTGCAGTATGCTGCTAATGATTTCTCAACCATCCAGGTCTTTGTGATATAATAAAAATAGTCTAGGTTCAGGAGGGGCTCCTTTCTTTTTTTTCTTTTTTTTTTTCTTTCTTTCTTTCTTTGCTTGTGCCTTACTGGACCTCCTTGCTTGAAAGATATCCAAATATAGGAACTCCTTCTCAGCTTGCCCTTTCAGAGCTGACGTGTTAAATTTGGCAGAAAACATCAGCCTCACACATAAAGTACCCACTTTGTAACTGGCAGTGGGTGCCACGTCTCTCTTTTTTTTAGCAGCCATATACACTCTTCTGTTTATGGTCTTTTCACTCCATAAAACAGCGTCTTGTCCAACTCAATTAGAGCTGAAAGAATGCCAAATAGTCTCTTAAAATCCAGATATTTGTTCTCTGAAATTCCTTTGGATAATTATTTTCTAACTGGGTCACTGCTAGTTCAGTTCCTTTTGCAATCTCTTACAACTGCAAAAAAGTGTTGCCAGTATTCCAAAAATCGTATTAATTTTGTGATGTTGATAGCCAGATAAAGCCACACTCTGTATACCCTACGATGGCTAATAGCGTGCTGACATGCAATAAAAACATCCTGGTTTGAATCCAAATGAAGATATGTTTGCAAATGGGAATTACTAACACCATCTAAAAAGGCTGAAGTTTGGGTATTGATTAATATTCTTCTCAAATGCCTTCCTTAGCTGTCGACATGTGTGCACCTGGAAGGCACGACTGCGAGCAGGTCTGCGTGAGAGATGATCTGTTCTATACCTGTGACTGCTACCCCGGCTACACCCTGAATCCAGACAAGACGACCTGCTCAAGTAAGAGCAGATTGCTGTTCCTTATCCCCCCACACCCTCCCCAGCTAAGTACATGTATTGAAATAGCTCTCATTAGCAGGTTCATATATTTGGATCTCTTTGAGAAACTTTCATATGCATTCAAGTGTTACAAGACAGTTCTGTGTCGCTCTGCCTTTTCCACTTCAGAGATATAAAGCACTTTATATGCAACAATGCTAGTAACTGCTTACCATTTGGTCTTTCTTTATCACTGTATAACTAAGGCCTTCTCTGTATTTAAAAACCTGTAATTATACAATATTCAGCAAACCTAGACTGAGAAATAATTGAAGAGAGAAGAGCTGGGGTTAGTCACACAGTCATGCACTCTGCAGTACCGTGGAGACTGCGTACCACCGTGCAGGAGACAGTTTGAGGTGGTGCCCTCCCCTCCAGGCTGAATTTCACGTTGCTGTTTGTTTCTTTAGCTTCTCAGCTAATTTTGTGTTATAGTAAAAATGTAGGTTTTTTTAAAAAATGTTTCTTTCCTTCCTGGTCTCCTTACTGTAAAGTTATTGTGTGCTGGAAACTGTTCACCGCGTGCCCTGGGAGGTGATCTGGCACTTCCCACCTGGTGGGGTTCGGCAGCTGCACTCAGGGCGAGCACAGACCGCACAACGTAAGGACTGGGGGAGACCCCGGTGAGGCACTTGCTTCACCTCGCTGCCCCAAGGCACGATCAGTTACACACCTCAGTAGTTCCTGGTGAGATTCACAGGATAGGCTCCCAGCATGGAAAAGCATTGCCATTGGGAAGCATTAAAAATTGTTACGGTGTTTTTGGATAACTGTTTCTCCAAAACGCATTCTGTAGGAACTGATGTATGTGCACCAGGAACCCATGACTGTGAGCAGGTCTGTGTGGGTAACGGTGGATCGTATACCTGTGACTGCTATGAAGGCTTTACCTTAAATCCAGATGAGAAAACGTGCTCAAGTAATAATTTAATGTCTTTTTTTTCCTGAATATATTTATTGAAGTACCTCTCTTTAATGTGTTAAGTCCTTTTAATCTGTTTGAGAAACATTCTGTCAACTCATTAACTCCCTGAAAGTATAATTCCTTTTCATTCTTTTCTGCCTGTTTCCACTAATGTTTTGAGCTAGTTTGATCCTTCTTGTTTAGTTATAGCAGTTATTGTATTTAAAACTACAGTTGACTCTTACCTGTCACCAGACATTTAAGGAATTCACCATATTTAAAAAAAAATAATCTGTTGTTATAATCTGCATTTTCTTATGAAATGGGAATAATTGGGGGGATTGGCAAGGCAGGGTTCTGGGGCATCTGTCTCTGGGGCATGGGACTCGATTGCATACCAGCATTTGGAGGATGGTGGGGGGCCAGAGGGGAACAGAACTGGTGTCAGAACTGCTGCAATGCTAAACCGTATGCTCTTGTCCACTCCTCCAAGCTGAGCGGGGCAGGCATGAACTCACCAACTGCTTTCCCTTCACAAGGCCAATAATGGCATCAACTGTTGGCAGAACCTCAGCACCATTTGATGTAAAATCATGAGCAAAGTTGGGTTGGAAGGGACCTCAAGAAATACTGTCTGATCTCTGGTTCAGAGCAGGAATAACTTGCCATTACATCAAGTGGCTAAGGACCCTATGTCAGAGCAAAGTTATAAAATAGGTGGATATAGCCAAACATCATCTGCAAAAATAGTACTTTTTTGTAGGTCTGGACTTAAACATAAATGCAGTGTAAAACCACAAATCTAGCGTGTTTTGTATGACTTGTTGGGCATCCCGGTGGCAACGGGAGTGCCCAAGATTTTGAATATCAAATACTGGAGGACTCTAAATTTCACAGAAGGACTGTGGAAGACTTCAGTACCTTTGGGCAGTTGCCAAAGTTGGTTGGAAAAGTAATTTCATTAAAACAGACATAATCCAAGGAGGATCTGTATCTGTCACTGGAGAATTTAAATGCAAGCATGAAAACTTAACTGGCAGTTGGTTGGAAACCAACCATGTTGGTGTGATATTTTGAACTGGCCTTCCTCCAGCTGAATCTTGAACAGCTCTTCTTTGTACATCAACCATAAAGCCAGTGGAGCAGTCCAAAGAAGGGAGTTGAACAAATACAGGTTCAGTGGAATCAAGAAGACACCAGTTTCAACATTGGCTCTAAGACAAATGAATTTCTGCACTGCTAGAAATGAATCTGTTCATAGATTTTTTCAGTGAAACACTGAATGAACAACCTTTTGAAACTGATATATTTCAGTCATTTTTCTGTAATTCAAGCAGCCATCAGTTTCCTTGCAAAATGGAAATATCAATGGCATGATTGATAAGCAAAAAGAGACACCAAAATGATTCAGAAAAAAAGAGAAATTGTATCCAGGTATAATATTTATATTGTTTTACTGTTACAATGCTCACACAATTTGTTGGGCATTGATCAGCTATGCATTTATGTATCTACAGAAAAAATAATTGAATAATCTGCTGTCGTTGCCTTTGCAAGCAATGTAAAAACACATGTATAAAGTGACAGATATTACATACAAGTATTCCTTCTTGATAACTTGTTGAAAGGGTATTTCATAATTGTAGACCCTCTTGTAAGGAGGCTCTGCCGTTGGAAGCTCATTATTCTGGTCTCAGACGTAGACGGTAATCTTGCTGCAGTAGTGGTCCTTCAGTAGCTGTTGATATGTTTGTTCTTAGCCTGCAGCAAGTGGCGCAGCTTGCCGTAACTCCTGTTTTCTTTGCGGAGTAGGCGAGGTTAAATTGCCTTTCATGCAGCTAAGAACTCACAGCCATCAGCTGATGCCTGACATGGTATTATACAACAATCAAATTATCATCTCTCTGAGCCCTTTGTGGTCATCCCTGGTTTTGTGGTGGATTACGGAGAAAAAGGAATTCTTGAGGACAGCTGAGGCTGGTCCCTGGTAAGCCTGGAAGACTGAGGGCAAGACCTAGGAACAGATTCAATGGAATCACTGCAGAGTACAGCAATGCTTGTTTTCTCTTTCCTGAGAGACTGATTACTTTTCTGTCATACTAACTGACTCCTCCATTAATATTGCTGTGCCTTTCTACCAGATTTTAAATTCATTTGGACCCATCTGAACATTGTTGTTCCCTCCATCCATATTCATGTCACATTGGAATGGACTTGGGTTCACAGCTCTTGATGAATCAAAAATGATACTCTCTCTGCATGTGTATTGCCAATGTTACTAACCAAGAGTACTTGTGAGATGATACACATTGATGATTTAGCTGAACCTCTATTGCTTCTTATTTAAAATTAATGCATGTGTTCCTGCTTTCATTTTTGTATTATTTACCAAGTGGTAAATTCAATTCTTCTAATTCCTTCTCAAGTTAGGATTTAGGTATCTAAATTCCACCCAATTTCAGAAGCTGATGCAAACTGACCAATTTCTGTCGCTGACCAACTCTTTATGTGTCTAAAATCACTAGGTGCCTTCCTTCTTGGCTTGCAAAACTCCTGGAGGCTTAACTTCGGACTTTAATGCATTCTCAGAAGTGCTGTGTTTGGGAGCGATGGGTACCCCAAATGCCATTACAGTCCAGACTCCGCTGGGATGCAGTGCTTGCTGTAGTCCCACAGCATGAGTTCAACTCTCATTGCAGAATCAAGCATTTTCCTGGGATTTAAATGTTCGATAATTGTCATAAATATTCTAAATGCTGTTTTCTCTCTTAGGAGCCATAACGAGCAGTCTTATAACAGCTGAAGAATCCTGTAAGTGTGAAGCCATAGCTGCCCTGCGGGACTTGGTCACCTCACGCCTTGAAGCTCTGTCCACAAAATATATCCTTTTTCTTACACCGTCTTCTGCATTCAGCTCTTTATTGGTATTTTAGAGGTAGCTGTTTTGACACAAGCCAGGGAAGGAACATACCTCAAAACAAAGTATTTTCATGGTGATTTTAGAAATGTTATGGAGCAAAATTTTGGTTGTTCCAAATATCATTATGCTTTCACATTTCATTGAAGGGCTTTAGTATCAAGATACAGATAAAATGCCCACATCCCCTAGATTATATATGCTATGTTGAACATCAAGCATTGCTGTGTTCATAATTCTTCCAGATGACTTTTACTGTTATAGCAAATGCTCAGTTTTGAGCCCTCTTATTATGTCCCAATATTTTCAAGACAACTTCACAGGCAGTGTGACAAGAGCCCCATTAGCTGCAGTATTCCTCTGCATCCCACCTCCGCAGGCAGGCACTGTCCCAAGCAATTTTTATGCACCTTCTTTTCTGTGAAAATGTGCTAGCCTATTAATATCCAGCTGCTGGGATATACGAGAACGGGAGAGCTGTGAGGCAGGTGTCGAGGCTGGAGGCACTGGGCAAGCCCCGGGGTCCACAGGACATCCAAGGCGCAGGCTGGCGGGTGCCAGCTACGCTGCGCTGGAATTTGCCGGCTTCATTTGCTGCAGTGCGGCGCCTGTGGCAGTGAAGAGAAATGTGGTCAGCCCCCAGATCAGACATTTCACAAGCATGTGGGAGAGGAAAAAACAAGCAAACAAAAAAAAGAGAAAGTGGTGAACTCTGTGGTACCACAGCAAAAGTGAATGCTGGAATAAATGCCCTCAGATGGCATGGCAGGAACTGATAACTGGATGTTAAAGTTGGGCAAGCTGTGATTCAACATAAGGCACAATTTTTAGAAGTGAGAGTGGTTGGTCACTGTGACAATTTACCAGGATTTTTATCACTGGAAAGTTTTGAGACTACATGCTTTTTTCTGTAAGCTTTTTTCTTCTGCTCTTGTTCAAATAGTAATTGATTTAGGGGAGTACTTTATCACAAAGAACTGACACTTTCTTTCAAAGTTATTCTTTGGTGGGCAATTTGTATTCCTAGCATCCTTTCAAGACAACCTGGAAAAAGCAGCAGAGACAATCGCTTGCTGCTCCTCAGCCCTGAATGTCACTTGGTCCAACTCCTTCAAAGAAATTAGGGTTGTTGAGATCATTTGGGAAGTGGCCAGAGCTTGACAGATCTCTCAAATATTTTGAAATCTCTGGTTCAGGAATGTATTGACCTCATTTAGAAAACCTGCTATTTTTTGAAAATGCAGCAATGAGAAAGATTATACATAAACCAAACCTTATAGCCATCTATTATATTGACCTTAACAACTGACCACTAGATGAAGTGTCTGAGAAGCTGCAGGCATACGAAGGCAGCCAGCAGGTTGTCTAAGCTGTCATTCTACTTAATTTAAAAAAAATCTTTCAGAAGCAATCCTTTTTATTGTGTTCAGCAAGCTTTATTTTGTTGCACAGCTTACAAAACAGCAGTTGGTTTGTTATTATTGACAAATGTCCAGAAGACTTCAGGAAGACAACAGTCTTGAAAATACAGTGACCCTGAGGATCTTCATGTATAACCATAAAGCTACCTATACCTGCTGTGCTTCAGTTTGTACTACAAGTAGTCCAGCAGGTACTGCTTTTCTGCAGTAACTGCCTTTTTATTCTCTTATTTAAAAGTAAATACAGAAAAAATGAATGGATACAGTATATCACATTATATAAAACTGTGAAATGACAAGGCAGAGTAAAAAATGTGCCTATGTCATCTGTCCATTAAATGGGAAAGTAATCTGGGCTCTTGTAACTTATTTTAATAAAATAAAGTATGATCAGCATGCTGATGTTGTAAGTTTTTTTGTATACAACTTAAAGGATGTGTGTTGTGAAATAAAGTGTTTAACAAAAACAAGGAGACAAAAACTCAAAGATAAAGGAGGCATAAATGGAAGAAATCCACATAATTAAGCAAGATGCTATCCCCAAGTCACATAGAGGGAAAAAGACTGTTTGATTTTAAAACCTACAAGTCCTTGTTAATACAGATAAAAGGTTTAATAGTAATTTCAAGTATTAATAATGTTGTTTAACATTATGAATGATAGGATGAAAGACATCCTCCAATTTAAGGTTTTTACTTATACTATTAATCAGTCATTCCTGTTGTCATCCCATGGACTTTACTGGGACTACTTGTGTCAATTGGGCTTGCAGGATAAAACACACAAGCTAACAATTCAAAAAATTTAATTGTTAAAGGAATCCACTCGTTTTGTACACTTGGCATTTGTAATCATCCAAATGCTTTAGAAATTATATTTTAAAATTTTTGAAGATTGATTCAAAACTATGATGATTATTATTCTTTTTTTTTAGAATTGAAAAATCCAACATATTTTGTAGAGCTTTGCAATATAATTACACAAAATATTATACCAGTAGCTGGTATGCCAAGGACATTATAACGACATCTGTGCTTGCTTCATGCCCTGCACATAACAGATACAAACAATTGCAAGAAAAATCGGTGGACAGAAGTTCAGTTATCGTGTTCACTGCACATGAGAGTGAGATTTCAGATATGTCTATACAGTAATGTTAAGTTAGACTATAACACTAAATAGCACAGGTGAACACAGGACACAGCATCAGTAAGGGCTAAAAATGAGCCTATAAACTCCGCAAGACTGCTGGATTGGCCTGCGGTTGATATTTTGTGATGTGTCCCCACTGATAATAATTTGCTGTAGTTCGACTGCAGTTGGTGTGGGACAACCTAGCTATGCTACACTTGCTTCTTCAAAGTGCTGTGTTTGCATATTTTTTCTGTAAGTCATGGAGTTTCATATCCAGTGCTTTACTTCGTTTACTTTCATGTCCTCTGCTTAGACATGGGTATTATATAAGGATTTATAGGGCCAGAAGTATGCCTTGGCCTCCGCAATTGGTAAGAATAAACAAGCTGTAAATCTAATGCAAGACTTATCAACTTCTTGGCAATTGGGAGTGGATGACATCAGTCCCATTTACACTAAGGCCAGTTGTCAGATGAGCTGTATAATTTTATATGATAGTGGAAAATTGTCCTGGAGGCCAGATGTGTCTTCCAAGCTGTCAGCTGGGCAGGCTTTGTTTCATGCATTAGTATTCGTAACTCCGTTTTACGTTACAAATAATAGTATTTACATTCAATTCCTCTGAGCAACTATCTTGTCTCACTTTGTGTTTGTGAGCACCAGATAAAATTCCAAAGCGATATGAGCGATTTCCTTAAAATAGGACATACCAGCATGTCCTATTGACTGCACATTTTTATTTTAAATATAGATGTACTTGTTGATATGGAACGAGTAATGATACTGTTTTAATTATTGGGGCAGTAGAACTTTGCGACTAATGCAGAGAACTGTTATGAAAAGAACTACATTTAATCTTTTGGATGGTATTTTAAAATTATTTTTATTCTGAATAGAATAGAATAGAATAGAACAGAACAGAACAGAACAGAACAGAACAGAATAGAATAGAATAGAATAGAATAGAATAGAATAGAATAGAATAGAATAATTTCAGTTGGAAGGGACCTACAACAATCCTCTAGTGCAACTGCCTGGCCACAGGCATTTTCTAAATTACCTTTAGCTATCTTATTCAGCTCTAAGATGCTTACAGGGGTTCAGCTAGCTTTGCTTTATAGTTGTCTTACGTATGTGCTTCTAAGTTGGCATCAGTCAAAAAGCTGGATGCCCAGTGCTCCTCACTCTTGCATGTCCATGTAACTCCAATAACGTGATGTGACAATAACCCATGGCTGGGTCTATTTCTCTACATTTCCAGATAGCCTCTCTGAGAAGAGGGGAATGCGCTAAACCTGACGAGACACAGGTTTGAGAACTTGGCTTCATCATGATCCTCCTTTGACATTGAACAAATTGCTTATATTTCAGTGTTTGTGCTGTGGATAATTGCACTCTGGAGTGGTTAGCTGCTATGAAAGAGGGGGGGATGCCCTGGGAGACATGGCACTTCCATTCCTCCCGTGTCAAGCAGGCGAGTTTTTTAGACACATGACAGACTGTCTTCTGTACATCTCCCACATTCCCCTTTTCTGTTGATCAGCTACAGAGCAGCTTTGGTATGGAAAATATTTATTTTGCAGCTGGGTCCAACCTAGCCTGGAGTCCGTGCTGCAGAGCCAGGCTGCTCCTGAAACCCCCCGCACCCCTGCTGTGGGCACAAATCCAGGCCTGATCCTTCCCCCTGCCCTCTGCACTGCCCAGCGTCCGAGAGCTTTGTACCGGTAGCCATGGGGCTTGCTTACCCTCTCTAACTCCCTGAATCAAGGCAGCATCCATCAGTGTACGCGAGTGGCGGAGCAGAGCCGTCTGCGGGTGCCAGCAGCACCTTCCGAAGGAGCGGGAACGGCCACAGCCGCCAGCTGTCTCAGGGAACAGCAGCGCCTGGGGCAGGTCTGGGGTTAGAATCATAGAACAGAATCATAGAATTGTTAAGGTTGGAAAAGACCCTTAAGATCATTGAGTCCAACCATTAACCTATCACTGCCAAGGCCACCACTAAACCATGTCCTCAAGCACCACATCTACCCGTCTTTTAAATACTTCCAGGGATGGAGACTCAACCACTTCCCTGGGCAGCTTCTTCCAGTGCCTGACTACCCTTTCAATGAAGATGTTTTTCCTAATATCCAACCTAAACCTCCCCTGGCGCAGCTTGAGGCCATTTCCTTTTGTCCTATCCCTTGTTACTTGGGAGAAGAGACCGACCCCCACCTCGCTACAGCCTCCTTTCAGGTAGTTGTAGAGAGCAATAAGGTCTCCCCTCAGCCTCCTCTTCTCCAGGCTAAACAACCCGAGGTTGGACAACTCTGAGGGTGTGTTGGTATAAGTTATATTAAAACCACTGTGTGCAAACACTGTGGGATTCGCAAGCTTTCAGATTGTCCTTCACGTACAAGCAGAGCGACCTTTATGAATGAATTACCAGTGCTTTCTACCCAAGCTGAGTATGACCCCTCATGTGCTGCCCGCCACTGTGCCGGGGCGGGAA